AAAAAAGCATCAAAAACTTAAAAAATTTAAATTGACTGGAATGACAGGAGATTTAGAAGATCATAGAAGATCAAGAAAGTTGGTGAAACAGGAAATTACGACATGAAAAAGGATGTATGAGAAAAAGTTGAATGAAAGTGTAAAAATTAACTGTAAGGATTTATTTAAATACATTAATGGTAAACAAAATGATAGAATTGGGGTAGGACCCTTGAGGGATGATAAAGGAATACTAGTATCTGATCATTATGAGATGGCTAGGTTATTAAGTTTTGCTTTTTCTTCAGTTTTAGTAGAAGATTTAAGCAGTATTAAGTGTATTTAAGCAGTATTCCACATCTTGAACAACTGAAAAATGGAAACGAGATCAAACAAGATGACTGTATTGATTCTGAGCTACTTAAAAAAGGGAAATTTAAAAAACAATAAGGCTCCTGAGCCAGATAATATTTCCCCAAGAGTTTCGAGGGAGGTTAAAGATTGGTTGTGTGAGCCACTTACTACTATTTTTGTCAATCCTTCAATAGTGGGCAGGTACCAGAGGATTGGAAGTTAGCTAATTTAACTCCTCTTTTCAAGGGAGGTGATAAAATTTTCCCAGTAATTATAGACTCATTAGTCTTACATCAGTTGTGGAAAAAGTTTTGGAAAGTCTGTTACAAAATGCTTTGCAAAGTTTAGAATTTTATTGGATAGTCAACATGGTTTCACTAAGGGAAAATCTTGCCTTACAAATCTTTTGACATTCTTTGAAAAGGTTACTGCTTATGTAAATGAGGGTAATAGCGTAGATCTGATGTATCTCGATTTTCAGAAGGCATTTGACAAGCTGCAACATAAAAGGCTTTTCAAAAATTGTCTCTATAGATGTGGGGGATAAGTTAGCAAATTGGATAGAAGAGTAGTGGCTGAATGGAAGAAAGCATAGGTTTGTTACAAATGGAGTTCAGTCAAACTTGATTACTGTCACAAGTGGGGTACCTCAAAGCTCAGTCTTAGGACCTTTGCTCTTTTTGATTTACATTAATGACACAGATGAAGGAATAGTCAATAAATTACTTAAATTTGCAGATGATATTAAGGTCTAGCTGTGAAGAGGATGCTGCTGATTTACAAAAGGATTTAGATCATTTAGTGAGCTGGGCAAATAAATGGCGGATGGGTTTTTATTATAATAACTGCAAGATTTATAAGTATAATTTGGATGGAAAAACCTTAACAGTGTTATGAAGGAAAGTCGATAACTCGCTAAAACTACCCAACCAATGTGATGTTGCTAGTGGGTGGGCAAATACGATATTCAGTTGTATCTACAGAAATATTGAATACATGTCGAAATAGGTTACACTTTCATTGTACAGGTCACTGGTTAGACTACATATGGAATATTGTGTTCAGTTTTGGGCTCCTTACCTTCATAACATTTTCACTTATCCTTTTTTGCTAGTTTTTACCTTCTTTATGCGAGCTGAAGAACTTGACTCAATCATATGTTATTAGAAGAGAATGTCTATATAGTCTGTTCACATATTGTTTTTGTATCTTCCTTTCTTATATAATTACCCATGTTTGTCTGATATCTATGCTCTTCTTTTCTGCTTTACTGAATATCCAAGGGTCATGCCTCCAGCATCCTTATATGTTTTATATATTTCATGTCATATTGTTTGAATTGAAACTGTCGTGCCACATTATTATTATCAACACCCATAATTTCTAATATTGTAAGCCTATACAGACTTTTCAAAACAAATTCGTTTTTACAGATTCTTGTAGTTATTTATTAATATAAAATCTTACAACTCATTTCTTTTTCCTTCTTACTTTAAATTTAAGTTGAAGAACAGCACATACCAGTTAGTGATCAATATCAATATTTGCTCTACGACAGCTCCTAACATTTAATAGAGTACTTCTTTGCTCACCAGAAATAGCTAAATGATCGATTTGAGTTTGGACTAGAATATATGGTAATGTACAGGTATATCTATGTATATCTTTATGCTCAAATATACTTACACAAAACTGATAAAGCACCTGCATATATTATTTATTTCTCCCAGTCATTGTTGATCCATAATTCTTTTAACTTCATAACTTCTGTTGACAGTTTTAGCATTTATATCACCAAGGCATATTAGAGCCTTTCTTCCAATCACTCAATCCATTTCACTTTGAAAAGAATCATAAAGCTCATTTTTCTGCTCATCATCACATTTATTAGTTGGTGTATAAATTATATTATTCTAATATTATATTGTTTAGAGTCCAACAGCATCTCTAATTAGCATATCATTTCTGCCAGAGCAAAGAATTACAATAATACTGTTTACGACCAGTAATAGAATAACATTCTATCAGATTCCGTCAAATGTGTCTCATTGAGAGCTATAATATATGTTCCATATTTCACAACTATCTGCTCGAATTGTTCCAATTTTCCAACTTGTTGCAAAGTTCTAGCATTCAAAAAGCCAATTCTTAGTTTCTTCTTATTAGATAATAAGTTTTGCTGAGAGATTCTTAACGTCCTTGTTTGGCCAGGACTAGGGGCCATAATATTTTTTTACATAATTCATGGAGGATTCTTCGGTATTAATTTTTTTACAAAGCAATGTCCCCACCATTACATGTTAACGCCCACTCAGAGGGACCGAAATTGTTTTTTGAAGTTTATTTCTCTAGATCTGCTAGCTTCTGCAGTAACAGGGCCACCTCTAGACGGATGAAAGCAATACTCTCAATAGATGATCTTGATGAAGGATAGGATATAACTCCTCCCTAAGGCAAAAAAACCTTTGACCACAATGTATTTTACTATAAATGTTAATATCAGTACTTTCTACATAAGCAATCTCCTGTATATCATGATTCAAGCACTGCAGTTGATGACCCTGCTTAAGTGTCCTTTTCACAAACTTCAAGCAGTGTCCCTAATTTGTGAAATATTACAACAACAGGCAGACGTTATACCAATGATGTTGTATGCCTTCAATATAGGAATTTAGTGTTATTTCAGTTTAAGCCAAAACCTCGACGTTTGTAAATCAGCGTGTTATTGTTCCTACTGGAGTAACACCACCTAAATGAAAGGTATTTTATAGACTCCTTTCAACTGATGGAACCTCTGCTTTAGGAAAATGGTCATATTTCAACAGAACCAATATAATAAATTTAAAGGAAAACACTTGAACAGTTGCACAGGGACTTTTAGGGATAGATTTTTATCAGCTACACAAACTCTCCGATAAAGAGTATTTCAATCTTGCAGAAAAATTATTTCACCAACTAAATCCAATTCTCACTGTAACAGCTGTTGTAAGCAATTTTCTAATATAAATAGCAACTCAACCACTGCTACGTCTGTTGTATCCCAGATGACTTAAAAGCTGTGTTGCCCATTGCGGATTCCTAAATATTGAATTGAAAAAGGCAATTGTGTAAAAGTGAAAGCTCTTGATGCAGATTTAGACTTTATAAAACTGTCTGAGAATTATGTTTGTTACCTGACTTTGAATGTTTACCAGCTCAAACAAGCAAAATCTTATGCTCGTAAACATTTTGATGAAAATGAATTGCATGATATTTGGATCATCATGGAAAAATTATTGTCTATTATTTACCAAATTTAAGTTAAGACACGTGTCCAAAAACGAGTACCCCTATGGACAGTGTTCCGTCTTGTGTATTAAAACCCGATTTTTAGAGTCGTAAGCCTAAATACATATCCCTTAGCCAATGGGGGGATACTGTACAAATATCTAAGATTATGATTGTGATTACATTAATTGCAGGGAATAAGCTATGACTCAGGCTTCTTTTAGACAGGCAAGTTTGGACTTAATTATGGAAAGATGCTGTGCTGTTTGTTGATATTGTTCGGATGTAACGTGGAAGGTTTTAGTAGTATTTTAATCTTCATACACTGAAGTAATAAGTATTTTTCTCAAGTCAAAACAAGACCAGATGGCCTTGTATTCAATTCGTTATAAATTAAAATAAATATTCATTTATAAATATTTAACTTTACTAAGTTTGAGGGACAACAGCTTCAAGGGTTGGTGCCCTGTTGATTGTGAATAAGACATCTACAACTTTATTTCTTATCTGCAATTAAATTCTAAAAAGTACTGGATAAACAGCTTTGTTAACTTTAACATAGACTGCACATTATATCCAAACGTATTGTTATTATAGACAGAGTACTGAAAAAAGCCATAATATTTGTTTTCTAAAAGCGTAGCAAATGTATTAGAATGATTTACTCTAATTGGATATTTCAGCCACTATGTTCTTAACTACACACAAAAAACATAACTAAATACGCCATTATTCTAGCAAAAATTTATAAATATATTCGAGATTAAAATTGAAAACAAAGCAAGTAGATAGATTGCTACGATTTGACTATATCCTAGAAAATAAATAATTATTATTCCTATAAAACTATAGGGATGATTCTCCTTTAAGGAGAAGGACTTAAAAAATTACCAGTACTAGAATGAAATCAAATACTTAGAAGATGTAGCCATAAGGGATACTTAGCTCAAATTCGCACAAATAAACATTTATGAGGAGAAAAATGGACAAAACTATCAGAGTTAATATATTATATAAATTGCATGCATATAAATATATACAAATACTTTATTTTATGATAATGGATTAATCCAACAATACAATATATACTTAACTATATACTTTATTTTTGTAAACATAACTGATAGCCTTGACCAATTATGTGCTGATTGAAATTATTACTGAAATAATCATATTGCTATCAACTACTATAAAATGATAAATTGAAAAAGGAAACACTTGAAATCGATGTATAAAACCCATTATTTTCAACACAAACAAACAAACCTTCTTTATCCAAAGTGATATTATGTTTGAATTACACCATGCCCTCTTACCTATTACTTGCATTCATAAAAATATTAAAAAGCTCAATGCTAAGAGTAACTTTAGTTCGACATTGAGGCTATAGACTTTCTTACCATGTAGGTCTATCTCAATCCAGCTAACTAAGGGATCATCTATTGCTTCACTTTCTACGCGACAACTTAGCTTCGCTCGTAAGTCCTTCCGTGAAAGTATTACTCGAATGGTGGCAATGACCTTGTCTGTTCCAGCTTCGTCTTTCAAGATAACTGGTTCAACTAAAAGATTCTTCTTATTGTTCCACCAAGAGACCTCTGGTATTGGCTTCCCTCCAAACGTTATGCACTCTAAAGAAAACGTAGCTCCCTCAAAAAATGGTCCAATTGTTATAGATGTCTCCAATTTTTTTCCGTCTTTTTTAATAATGGGTTGACTTGGTTTCGCTAAAAAAAATGAATATAAAGTTGAAATTAATATTTCTAAATATAATCACGTTCATTATTGTAAGTGTAAAAGCATTTATTTGTATACAATTATTTATTCCTTTCTGTTGTATTTTGCTGAAATTTGCATTCATGTCACTGGTGTCTGGATAGCATTTATATATTATTGTGTATTACTCCTATGTCTGGTAACCACAATAAAAAAATAAATACATAAAGAGCTTGATTTCAGAATATTTAGTAAACTTTATCATTCGTTTCATTGTGTTCGAATCTTAAGCTGTCAGGTGTATTTGAATATAGAGCGAAATCTATTACAGTTTGACAACAAAGATCTTAGCAAAAATCAGAAAAAGCGTCAACCAATGTAAGCTGCAGATACACATATAACTTAAAGATTAAGTAAATATTGAATGTTCTTATAGTATGGGTAATGGTATGAAAGTGCTAAGGAAATATCTAATTATAATAAAAGCGTAATTGTATTGTCAAAATGTAATTCAATTAATTTATTACTTGTTTTCGTAGTAACTTTTTATACAATAAAGTGTTCGAAATAGAGCAGAATTATATTATAAAAATAGCACATTTTTCAATTCCAGGTTAATTTATTGTTTCAGCAATATGTGAAGAAGAAAAGTATTTGATGAACATGATATTAAAAGAACAAACAAAAACGCGTAAGTTCAAAATAGTTTGGTAAACCACATAAAAAACCATAAAACTCTGGCGCTTTCTACAGATCAGCCTGTTTTTATCAGGAATAAGAGAACATTAAACAGAGAAATATCGATTCTTACAATGTCTTACATTAAACACATACACACACTCATTTTTAGATTATTTCATTTATTTGTAAGTGTAAAATATACTGAATATATGTGTCCCTGTTGATTTCTTGAGCCCTATAATGGTGGGCTATAAGAGAATGAGCAATAGCAAGGATACCTCTGAGCTTTAGCTTGCACTTTGGGTTTCAAAGACGATGATAGTGATTAGCTGCTGGAGATCATGTAATGGTATTTGATTACTTTAAGAATTGTTCTCCATCAGGTTCACCTCACAATGTCGTAGTTAACATCATTATGCCAACAGTAAGTAAAAATAACTTATTAACATTTTAAATTGTAAGGAATCATCAATTCACTTTATTTATGAAACTGACGAAAACAATAGTTTACCGTTTGTTAGTGTATGTATTAATATCTAATCAATAACACCTTACGTGTGAAAAAAAAGTGCAGCCAAAAAAGGATTGAGTATGCGACTTAAAGGAATAAATCAAAATTGGCATCCAAACTGCTAGCTACACTTATACCATTGATAAGAATTTTACAATAAATATTCATTCATTGTTAGCCAGGCCGCGATTTTTGTTCCATTTGGGGTATAGTGGTGGGTAAAACAAAATACGCTAGGCCGCTGAGTAATGAATGAATATTTGCTGAAACATTGTTATAAATGCTGTAAGTGTAGCTACCAGTTTGGCCGCCGATTCTGATGTCATCCCCTTATGTCGCACACTCAATCCTTTTTTGGCCGCACTTTTTTTTTCACACCTAAGGTGTTTTTCAATAGATGTCATGGCGTTTTGTGAATACACACTAACAAGCTACAGCAAGTAAGAAAGTGACACTTGATAGTAACCCATATTAGCTTTAGGATCGCAACCCTATTATTCGGAACAGACCTTTACTTTACAGAACCAACCAGATTCTTTAAAATATACGGTTGTAGTTTTTCCTCTCTAAAACAGTGTTAATAGTTTCCTTTATAGTAACACCATGGAATTTAGATTAACAGTTTCTTGTTATCACCACCATGCAATTGGTACAGCCGTATCAAGCATCATTATTTAAGCTAATTGCTTAAACTGATATCACGTAACGCTAAACACTCTTTAATTAGGATAATTCATATATAAATTAGTAAATTTTTGCTGAAAAGTTGGTAATGTATAATGAATAATAACCGTCTACTCGTACGATTATTTTGAAAACTTGAGCTAGAAACAACTGATCTAGTTTGCTTGGCCTAGCCAATACTTTACTTATGCATCTGCCCCCCCCCCCAGTGGCACGGCGGTATGTCTGCGGACTTACAACGCTAGAAACCGAGTTTCGATACCTGTGGTGGGCAGAGCACAGATAGCCCATTGTGTAGCTTTGTGCATAACTTAAAACAAACAAACTTATGCATCTGCACGTCTTTTCACCTTATATATTTGCAGATCTAAGTCATCCGTCTTTAATTCGAATGACAAAACACTAAAAACGGCCCACGATAGATGAACCTGTAGTAAAAATGTTAGACCTATACACTTTTTGCGTATGCGTGCGCAAACATTTTCTTTAAATTTCAACGGTTTTGTTGAATAACTTTCCACATGTGGCTTATATTTACACCAAATGAGATTCCTAATTGTAGGTT